GCTTCAACATATTTTCAAGCAGTCCCTGTTGATGATATAGTTTTCACCAAATAACTATTTTTTTTGGAACCTTATTGGTCTTATATTTATTAATTGACAGATATTTGGCCACTTTATTAGACTTTAATTTTTTTTCATATCCATTTTGTACAAAATAAATTTAAAAAAAAATTGAAAGATATAGCATTTAATAAGTTAAACCAAACTATCCGTAGACACTTTTAGCAGACAGTGTGCTAGGAAAAATAATTAAATACTATGAAGAAATGACTTAATCCATTTTAGTTTGAAATTGCAATAAATATAATGAATACCATTTCCTGCAGGCCTCATCTGACATACTTAAGAAGTGAACCTGACAGTCAAGTATATTTCTTTTCCCATGGTAAAAACTAAAACTGCATGTTCATAAATGTTTGGGGGGGATTTTCATTGATCTTTCGGGAAATCCACAGAATATATCAATCTCCTCAAGAAAGCTTTACAACTGTAAGTATGTATGTAACATTAAATTGGATCTACTATTTAATTAACCTCACAAATGTTCCTGCTCACATTTTGGTTCAATATTTTTCACATGTTTGTGTACTTTTCTATAATTAAATTGTTAATATTTGAGTAAATAAATGGAGCACATTGTCTTGATCAAAAAGTTTAAAAACATATAATCTGGAAAAAATTAGGCATGTTTAATTTATGAATGTTGTGACGTGAGTTAACTGTCACACTTAAATTGGTGATGATCTTCCTTTGTTTTGATAACTCTCGCCCAGTAAAATGAAATTGTCATTAATTATAATGTTTTTCATATTTTGTTTATACTTTTTTCTACTTTCTGGATGAATGTTTTTCTTCTTCATATATTGGAGTGTTTATGTTGCTCAAATAATGTAGCTGTTCCACCATTCTATTCTTTTAATAGAAAAGTTTATTTTTCATTTTTCACCCACTATTCAGCAGATCATTATTAATGTACTATCAGATTTAGTTTTGTTTGACATAGTGAATTGATATTTGTGTTCACATACTCTCCCTAGTACATGGATGTTTTGAACATTGGAATATCAGAATTTGAGTGTATTAGCATTTCAGTATTTTTTTTTTTTTTTGTCAATAGTTTGTTTGGTGATTCATCTCAGGGATAAGTCATTTGATGATAGGGAGGGGGCTATGAATAATGGGCATAAATGCATGACTCTTTAACTGTAGTGACTCCCTCTTTACTGCATTTACCCATAAATGTAATTGTTGCCCTTAAAAGAGGTGTCGTAACCATGCACACATGCACTGCATGTTTTGTGATTACATGGTAGCAATGTTATATATTTCAATAAATTTGTTCTACATTGATATACTAATGACTTTTTTTTTTATAAATGTTTGTACTTTTTATCAGTGGGATACCTTTATTGCTTCATAGTAAATCAAAATGATTATAAATTGACACAGGCTCAGTCAATTATTACTGATTTCATAATTTTAAAACAAAATCAAACTTAAAAAACATGATAAAGACTTTTTGGGAGCATGGGGAGAATAGTCCACACAGTCTGTAGTATATCAGTCTTCAGCAATTCATTTAGTTTAGCTGTGACCCAGATTACCTTGCAACGAGTGATAAATAGCTTGTGAATTCAGTATGCGTGTGCTTGCAGCTCCCATGAAGTTTTTAACAGGTCAGAGTATGACAGCTGTAGTCTATACATTCCAATGCATTCCTCATCACCAAAATGAGCACAAACTATATACATTTTAACTTTTGGTTTTAAAACATGGCATAAAATATGACAACAATTTAATTAATTTTGTTGGGCGTTTTCCCCCCTCAAGGCTGAGTTAAAGTTCACTATGGCAACAATGTGACTGTATTCAGTTTTGTATCTGAACCATGTTGTTTATTCCCCCTAGAGTGGACCTTGAACTACACCTTTTAATCTTGACAGATATGTACTAGGCGCCAATGTGAAGTGATGAAATTAACATAATAAGCATCATATGACTCTGTTTTGGCACAGTATTCTGATATCTTCCTATATCAGCTCATAGTTTATTCAGTGTAATCGTCGCCCAATATCAATTGCATTACAACTCTACATACTTAACATTATTTTTCCCGATTTTGTTTTGTAAAAACTATTGAAATTACACGCATAACCACAATATCTGCATCTAAAGAATGCATACCCCCTACCCCCCTAACTACCCCATAAAGGGTCTACAATTCCCTTGTTGTCAGTATTCATTCTCATCCATGTATAAAGGTGAATAACATAGGGTCGAGTGGTCGTTGAAATTTAGTGGTATCTTGGCATTTCTATTTTTCAATACCCCCCCAAAAAAGTTTAAAAATAGCACCATATAACGAGCCCAGGTGTGCAGTTTGCCCATTGTTGTGTCACCAAGCAAACCGTGCATGAGACTTGACCTATGAACTCATCTTGTGTAAAGTTGTGCACACACCTGTATCGGTGTTTTCAATCTTTGTAGTGCTGACAGGCAAACTTACAGCATTACATCTGACACTTCCTCTGAGCGTCATACGATATCCTTTACAGAACACCTACTTCTACAAAGCCTAATCGCTGTGTACCATTTTGGTATTTTCATGCTTACTGGGCATACCGAACATACATGTAATGGGGCATTTCAAGCTGGCAAGGAAATCAATAAGTATTAGGCCAAGCCCCTAGTTTTACATTCATAATGGCTTTAAACACCACAGATGCATGTTCACCATGCTTGTTAAGATCTTAATAAACAAGACTCCTTTAATAAGTTCTTTTTAATTGTTTTTTCTAAGGACATACAGCTCTGGTATTATTGGTCAGTATTGAGAACGCCCGCCATGAAAACACTTAAAACATACAATCGATGAAAAAAAGACTGTTTAGTTAAATACGATTGCGGTACTCAAGTAGTCATGGGTTTGGATTGCAGTATGAATGACTGCTTGTCTGAATAACATGTACACCTGGGATGAGTGCAGCTTTGGTTTTTTATGAATTTCTCAAGAGCGGCTTTTGTGTAGTAGAGGAATTTCTTACATATAGAAAGCTTGACTACCATATTTTCTCTATTAGAAAGACATCTCTTAAAAAAAATCATTTATTGATACTGGGTCATTAAAACTTTTTTAAAGCCATAACCACACTTCTGCAAATAAAGCAAATACTTTAAATCTTGACTGCACTGTACAAGTAGAATACAGATGCCTAAAATTACAACTATATATATTACCACTCAAAATTTCATGTCATGTTAAAGCAAGTTCAGTGTAGTTTACTTTTATGACCATGACCCTACATGTTCCTGTCTGTCTGTTTTAAGCAGTTTATTTGATCCAGTACGGTTATACTAGAACATTTTTGCGGGAGCTGGTTCAACAATAGGGTTAACACACCAGTTGCTGTGAAGCATTTCAGAGAAATAAATTAGTCTGAAGTGGTTGCAAATAACTACTATGTCTACACAGACTGGCATGTGCTGTATACATCAAAGGTCACTAGTGTGCTGGGGATTAAAATTGTGTTATTCACTGATGGGAAAACACTCGGAAACTTAAACCAAGGCTCTGGTCTATTAAAGTTGCAAGCCCACCTCTTTATACATGTACCGTAGATCGACTTTAATCCATAAATGCCATGTACTGTATTTACACTTGATCTTGACAAGTATCATTTAAAAATTCCTCTCATTGGTCGGTGCTGCACATGTGATTAAATCAAGAAGCCAATCAGAGTTAATAAATCTCTTGACTTGATGGTACCCATGCAGTCTTTGTATCTTATCTCATCTGATAGTACACAGTAAAATAGTGTAGTTGTACTGTATCACCTACTTAGTATATAATCATGTGTTGAATAATGTGATGAAAATACACAGCACCAAAACTTTGACCTGTGACTTGTTAGTCTATCTATTATATTGACAGACTTGCATATTGACAGCAAGCAAAGGCTTGATACACACTATGATTGGATTGACGCAATTTGTACAGAAATACAGTGTCCATTGTCATGGAATAATTATACTTTTATTATTTTTTCCTTTAAAAAAAAAGGAGAGCAAAATATTAATTTATTATTTTTTTGATTCCTGGCATGGTATATAGAGGTGGGTTTTAATATGAACAACATGCTATAATGCAAGCAACCATAAACTACCATTAGAAACAGGTCGCTATACAAAAACAAAAATGCCATTTGAACAGAGACTATACGCACACTGCAATGAAGTAGGAGATGAAATGAACAACATGCTATAATGCAAGCAACCATAAACTACCATTAGAAACAGGTCGCTATACAAAAACAAAAATGCCATTTGAACAGAGACTATACGCACACTGCAATGAAGTAGGAGATGAAATGCATCATTTTAATGGGCTGTAAATTTTACACAAAACATATAAATACAATAAACAACAAGGTACCAACAAATCAGCCTAGACAGAAATAAGAAGTAACAGTTTAAGTACATTATTTAAACATCAAATATCAAAATATTATTAGCACTTTGATTGGGCACTATTTAGTCAGCTGCAGTAAACAGCATTCAGTTCAATTATTATTTTATATTCAATATTTGAAGAGAACATGTTATTGTATGGGGAATAGAGATAGAAAATGTTATCCATTTATAATATGGATAATCTCTCACAAAGCCACGTTCTACTAATCAGGATAAATCACAAGAGTAAGAGAGCTGTGACTCAGCTCACCCTGCTTATTGTTTTAATTGCATGGAAATTAGTCATTTGATTTGAATACCGTGTAGTTGCATAATATGACATACATACTGTAGGGTGTGAACATGTACTGTGTAATGACTGGGTGAGGGGGGTGTGTTACCATCAGCTGTAAAACATGTCAGTACTCAATATCGTAAATGTCTGACTTTGTATTCAACACATTCTAGTATGTTATCAATTGCAGCAAAGTGTCTAGCTTAATAATGACTATATCATGTTTCCTGCCCAGAATGAATGAAATAGGATTCATATGGAATTGTATTTTAATACAGGTTTTGGTTTATTTGTCTATTATAGGCAGCAGATGCCCCCTACTATAGAAGGTCAGATTACTATGGAGAAGTCACCTAGTTACTTTGTTACTCATGATGTTCCCAGACGTATGCACAACATGTCAAAGGATACCAAACTGTTAGTAGTGGTACGCGACCCAATTACCAGGGCAATATCAGACTATACACAGACAGCTAGTAAAAGAAAAATCAAAAGTTTTGAAAAACTGGCTTTTGTGAATAATTCTGGCGTGGTGGATACCTCCTGGGGTGCAATACGTATAGGCGTTTACGCCAAACACTTTGAGAAATGGCTCAAGTATTTCCCGTTGTCCTCATTCTTATTTGTGAGTGGGGAAGAACTCATCCGCAACCCACTTGGAGAATTGACAAAAGTGCAACAGTTCCTTGGATTGAAGGAGGTCATTCAAGAGGACCATTTCTACTTTAATCAAACCAAGGGTTTTCCTTGCTTGATCAGAGGAGTGAACAATGACAACCCTCACTGTTTGGGCAAGACGAAAGGACGGGCGCATCCAGATGTAGATCCTGTGGTGGTGAATCGGCTGAGGGAATTCTATCGTCCATTTAATGCCAAATTTTACCATATGGTTGGAACCAACTTTCACTGGGATGATGGTCAGTACTACAAAAGGTGAGACCACGCACTGTGTTGCCATGGAGACTATACACTGTGGAACTCCGGGATATTTACTGCCAAATATTATAGAACATGTACATATTTATTATGAGGTTTTGCACGGAGTTTACACTAAAGATGCAAACTTTATAACGAACATCTCACATGTCAGTGACATTTATTAAAGAAAAAACTTTATTTACGGGTGGAGATATTTACTTTTTTTTTTGCTGTTAACTAATTTTAAAAATGCTGTTTCTTTGCTTTAAAAACTCATCAGTTGTTATTACACAAAATTGCCATGTTCTATGTGTATGCCAAAAATGCATTCTTACCAAGAGCTCATGGAGAGTTTTTACTCAATATCTGTCCACATAATATGATTTATCAAATCCACCAAAACAATTCAATACATGACTGTACATAAATGCAGGTTTTTGTCCTTTAGAAAATTTGGCATTTTTCATGAAAATCAAATTTCATAATGATATGTTTAACCATTATAAGGATGGAATTAAGGGAAAGGTTCTTCAAATGATGAGATTTAACTCAACAAAAATGGTGATGTCTTTGAGTAAATCACTCGCAAATGAGGCTTAGGGGGAGCACTGAATACATGAATAGTCTGACATGATATCTGTTGCCATGGTGACAACTTTACTGAGGAGACTTTTAATGGAGACATTACAGTATTTGTACATATCTTTGCATACTATTTTAAGTGTTCTGTACTAGGATTGTTATTTTGAAATGCTTTGGGGGTATCTTAAACTTTATTATTTCTAGCTCATACCTCACTGAAATATCATCATAAGGGTCAACAAAAGGTCATTTATCTGATCTACCAGGGAAGAAGGGGGGTCATATCAGAATTGAGTTCAAAGGGATAGTTTTCATTACTGGAATGTACTCAGTTCTGATCTGATAATATATGACAAACAATTATATGCATGGTGGTATTGAAAACTAAACCCTCCTCTCATCCGACGCCGCCACCACCACCACCACCCTCCAACTAATCCTTGATCTGGCCAACTTTCCCATCATTTTAAGTGTAATTTTAATCATCCTAGAAGATGAATGTGAAGCGTTTTAATTTCGTAATTCCAATTTACGCACATTTTGTGAGTAATGAAAACAAAATTGTCCTCAACGAATGCCTTTGAATCATTCAAACTGGTGAAAATGGAATAGTTTTAATACCATACACTTTGATTACCAAGGTTACCTGTAGTCATAGTTAGGATTATTCCTGTTGCTACAGTGACAGCTATGCAGTACATAAATGTCAATAATGTATGTATCAACTACAAGTACCTATCATCTTGATGGTCCTACAAGTATCAGTTCTTTGAGTCATGTACTCGGAATAACAATAGCATAATAGTAATTTATAAAATACTTTCACAGTTTATAATTGACCCAAAATGTTGCCCATGAGAAATGTATATACACATATCTTTTTTATTAATATTAAAATTGCAGAGTTTAAACGACAATTGTTCCCTCCAGCAGAGTTCAGCAGAGTTTTGGCGCATAGTTCTAAAGTTTCTAAAGCTTATTCCGAGACTAAACATAAACGTAATATTCTATTGGCTAAACATTTTGAACAAAATTGTTGAAAAAAAAAATGATGCAAGTTTAATTCATGAAAGGTAACAAAATTTAGACACAGTTGAATAGTTTGATAGTTCAGATTTTATCTTAACACAACTTGATAGTCAATAGCGCCTGCAAAACTACAACTACATGTAAGTGGCTTTCATATTGTGAATAGTTGAATGACAACTGATGAGTTTTTGTTAAGATTTTTTGTTTTTAAATCCTTAAAATCGTTTTGGGGGTTTGGAGCAGGTTCCTTATGAATTGATAGTAAGTTGTATAGCTGTAACCAGATTGTGCCTTGTCCATAGGCTTCCATATTGACTGTTATACATGTATCTCCAATTTCTTCAATAATACAGCTCTACTTTTCACACTGTATCTGCCTACTGATGCCCTAATCAAAACTGTTGTTTTATACTGTTCTCGTTTCAGCCTTTTTTGTTGTTGTTTTAGCAGTTCTGTGTTGATAAGAATAATTTACAATATTTTAGTCTGAATAAAAAAACATGACCAGAAGTTATTGGTAATGCAAGATAACTAAGTGTTGCATGCTTGCAATGTAAAGTGTGTGCTGTGTTGGTGATGTACAAATTATATCAGTCTCATTGTCGAGTGAAACACGTTTTATTCATGTTTGCTGACATATGTACTACTTTCCAGTTAGGCTTCTGCTTAATTTACAGCAAAGTACCACTTTGTGTAATGTTCGACTTTAATTATACTACTGTAAAATGACTAATTTTCACTGGGTTAAAATTTCGCTGATTCACCATTTCAGGCATATTCAGTGGGTTTTAAATTCACGGTTTTATAATTTAGATAATGTGTTAAATTTTACATTTTCATTGGGTTTTAATTTAGCGCATTTTCCAGTCAGTGAAATAAGCAAAATTAAAACCCAGCGAATAATTATATATAACTCCTTTTACAGTATCTTCTAGCACATCACATGCAGATAGCTTAAACGGATATTCAAAATGAATTGGGACAAACAGTGTCTGTAGACAATGTGTTAATCTCAAATTTTTGAACAAATTTTATTCAATACAATTGCTTTACCATGAACAAATCAATGGTAAGATCATCACAATCTTAATCAAAATGGCCATCATTATCTATGTTTAATTCCAAACTTATTTTTGTCCTGAAAATTCATGTTGCGACTTCAGTTGAATTCTGTGCATTTTTGTAGTCTTGTACTGCCATGAAAGAAATACAAACTTCCATCTTACCAATGTTTAATACACTTTGTAGAAAACCCAGTATACAAAGTACAAATAGCCAAACAAAATATACCCACTGTAAAGAATGTCTCTCGATGTTTGATTTTGAACAACCTGTGCACATTGAATGCAAATATTTAATTAAGAAATGTTGTACAATTTTGTGAAGACGATATTTGAAAGAACCAGAGAAATAATACACTGGATAGATCAGAAACGTCACCGCTTACAATGCTGATATGACCCTCCAACCTTTCTTTTTAAACTGAGAGAAATTTTACCGATACGCAAATAATTATGTAGTTATCCATTGTGATGTTTTCAAATTGAGTTAGTATCAGTAAGACACTTCTTGATTGGTCAGAATGTAGATTTTACAGTTGTGTGCTCCAATTAGAGGCAGGCTTGTATGTAATGCAATAGCAAATTATTAATGTAAGGGTTTTTCTTGCTAGACTTATGCAAACAGCAGCTAAAAAAAATATTAATTTCTTAATTTGCATGTCACTAGACGTTTACTCAGATTTACATGGATAAAAAATGTCAAAAGACACAGCTCTTTTATTATCACAAAATTTACCGTGCTAAGTCACCAATAATTTCTATCCCGTATAAATATGATAATTTAATAAAAAAAATCGGACAACTTTAGGATTTCCATGTACGAGACAAATGTTTTTACAATTGTTAAAAATTGGATTGCTGGATCGTATATAAAATGAACAATTTGATGAAAGACTTGTAGAGTTTCCACACAAAAATCCTGCTGTAAGGCGAAATCATTTACTTGCAAAGTTTTTCACTCCCATACTTTAATAATGCAGATTATTTAAAGGCAATAAAAAATGTTAACTTTGAATGAGAAAATAACATAGGGGGCAACCTGATTTTGTTGCTATAGAAACAATGATTTAATACGATATTAAACTGAAAACTGACACCATAAGCTTTAAAAATTATAATAATTTTTTTTTAATTTTAACTTGCAAAATTGTGTTGCTACATCCATCATGATTTCAGGATCTGAAATCTGAACAATTTGCACAAAAGAGAACTCAGCTCAGATGTCGGTATGATACTTTGATGTTAAATACAACAATGAATACACACAGTGTAAGCAATCTATCCACACCAGTAATACATCCAACATTCAAAGCCTGCATCTAGTTTTGTCAGCAAGATTATTTGAAAGTATCAAAAAGCTTTCACAAATGCAACCAAGAATTAATGGGCATTTCCACTATCCAGAAATATTAATCTTGTATGCACCACATACTGTTGTACATATCTAAGATATTACTAAACACTTATTAATTTTCGCCTTTTCTGTACCGCTTTAATGGAGGAGGCTGTAATTCTATATGTATCGATGCAAAAATCAAAATAAATTTATAAGAATTCTAATTTGATAATAAATATGAAGGTAGAATAAGATTAAATTTTCGTATCACTCCAAAATGGTTCCTTGGAATAATTTTTCATAAATTTTAGTATGCATAGCTTGTGTATACAGCGACTTTTATTGAAACTAATGGCACTGGTTCATATTTTTTCAGTAACTAAATTACACAGAACAAAAGTATTATCCTGGTAAGATGGGATTAGTGTAAAGGACTTTTTAATAAATCTTGTACTGAACAACATCAGTGAATATTACTCAATTTAGTTGTAGTCTAATCACATTTCGAGAAAAAAATAATAAGGTAAGCCACTCTCCTGAATTAACGCCTGATCTTTGATAAAACTGGAAATTATCATTCTACTCTGTCATTTGAATTGACTTGTGATGGCAGACATTATTGTCAGAAGCTTTTTGTACATGTACGTCTTTATAGTAAAACCAGATACTGGCGAGTCTCATTGATAATATTGTTATTGTATAGTTTTGATTATGATAACTGGCTGTACATTATGTGTAACTGTAGCACTGGACAAGAATATTTATAAATAACAGTTTATGATGGCTTTAGTTTTGTGAGTCTCAGGCTGCACAGTTAAACAGACACTTAAATAGTTGTATACCATACTTGCTACATTACATTATAACAACACACACATACAAACAATAACTTGCTTGTTCAGTACATGTGCTGCTAATAAAGCAAATATTTCAAGTTAATGAAAAAAAAAAAAAACATAGCCACAAAGTTTTCATTTTATTTAAATAGTTGAATAATTTATTACGTGTACAGCAATCTGAATAGCATTTATACATAACCATAATACATGACTTGCTGAAACCTTTTTATTTATTCTTATTAGTTTTACACTTCTAACATTTAATTTATGTGTACTGGTTTTATAACCAGTACTAGATTGGAATCTAAACAGTACAAAGTTCAATTTGTTGTTCTTTTCTTGATGGTGGACATTATTGATCTGTAAGGGCATAGGAAGGGGGCAGGGTCACCTGGCATGCGTGAGAGGTGATGAGAATAAATAAAGTTTTTTCATTTCACTGGTGTAAATAAATGAATTGAGGGCAGAGTAGTTGTGCCTGGGTGTTGTATTTATGCATTCCTTTAAATGCAAACTTGCTTGCCTATCTATGCATATTTAAGTCAAGTACCTCCATGGTATCCATGGGTCTATGCATATTTAAGTCAAGTACCTCCATGGTATCCATGGGATCAACAGAGTACATCTAATGCACAACTATAGTTTGAAACTGTATCAATGCGTTATTTCTTCAATGTACACTAGATTAATGTGTGTAAGTTTGTACCGTTTTGTAGTTACCGGTGTACATCAAAATCCTAACATGCTGATTTTCAGGTTATTAACCTTGACAACTTTGGTTTCGAGGCAACCATTTTATTATTGGCATAATTTCTGTCGCCAAACTCTGTGAGACTAATTCTTCTTTGCCAAACTAATTGTAATATATTTTGTCAGTTTACAGCTAAAGAAAAAACTGTTCTTGTAATATAAGTCTTTATTATAAGTTCCTACTATTACTTGTAAATTAAATATTTTGTGTTTGTAAGAATACTTTCACAAATCTGAATAAAACTGTACTGTATTTTCCTCATCAAAGTGAAAGAATGACTGCTGTGTGTTTTTATGCTATTCATCAACAGACACAGGAACTGGCTGCTGTATCTAACACACATAGAGTAAATTTGTGTGGCTTGCAAAATAAAGCTGCTCCTTGAGATCATTCAAAACTTTAATATTTAAAGCATGAATATGAAATATTTTAGAAGTGTCCTGTATTATGGTAGAAACCTACTCCTAATTATTGAAAATAAATCGCATGAGTGTTCATTGGTTTATCATGTAAAATCCTGGATCTACTATCACATGGCACCATGGAATAGCATGAATAAGTGTTACAGTGACATATTTTGAGAAACTTGTCCTAATATTTTCCCAAAATCGCTGTATTTGGAACAATTCCATGGAGCTCAATGAAAAATTGCATTTTTTAAAACCCAGATTTTTTTAAATAATTGACAACAAAAAGTACCCCATTATTCACAATATATAATTTTTTCAGCCTACATATGTATGTCAGCAGGTACAATTAGAAATATTACATAATACCTCTGCCATAGAAACCTATGGTAATAGTGTTATTATTATACTGTCGAAATGGCCACTATATCCACTAAAATTCAATCACAATTTTCTCGAAAATTAAGCTGGTGACTCCCCAACGTTTTTTTTATCTCAATAT